TTTTTATTTTTCCCCTTTAGTTCCCAGTGTGCGGTCATAGAAATAGGAAAGAAAAAATACCAGTCTATGTCTAAAGCATCATAGTTAGATTGCATGCAAAGATATTTTTGATCTTTCTTGCACTTGACTACTTCAAACTGTTTATTACTTATTATACCTTTTGCACCTTAATATTTATTTAAGCAATGAGTAAGATGATGCCATAGACAATTTTAAGTACTAATTGATGTTCATTTTATTTTGGGAACAACATTAGCACTTATGTTGTCATTCACAAAATAGGATAAGAAAGAAAACAGAGCGGTAAAAGAAGTTTAGAAAGCAGGAATCTGTAAGTAGAATGGTGAAGCTATACTGAACTCAACTCAACAGAGCTTTTGTCCCATTTATTTGTAATCAGCAACAGAAAACCTGTTTCTGCTTTGAATATGGCTGAAGGAATCAATAAAGCCAATTCCAAGTATTTAGTGTTAATGCTGCATTGATTTGATTTCAGTTCCTTTGAGTTGTATATGAAACCTTTTCACTGTACCAAATCTCTTAGAGGACATATTTATATAGATCTGACTAAAGTTTATGTCAGCCATCAGTTACCTTCCATAGCCCTCATCTTAAATATAAGGATAAGACACTGATCTTTAACACATCCAGATTTTAGAATAGCTAAGCTATTTAAGAAAATAGTATAACAATCATGTAAACTGAAGGATAGTAAACATTGCTAGGTTAGCATATATTCCAAAAAAAATTACATGCTTCTTTTAAACTTGTTACAGAAGAAAGAATACATGTTCATTGCAGCGAGATAAAACAAAACATTCTGTAGCAACAGATATGTCAAGTATGAAAAGAAGATGAAATACCTCCACCATGATTTTTTGCACTTCCTCTGAGACATGAGGACGCAAACGGGATAAGAGCTCTTGTTGCCTCCATCCTCTAAAAATTCTTTCTCCAAGTATGCACTTCTTGCTCATCTTTCGGCAATTTGACCATTTTCGATGTCCACCTGACCTGTAAAACTTTCCATAGTAGAAAGACAAAATTTCCCCCATCTTTGTGCTCTCCATGAATCTATTCACCTCAACAAGATTCTTGTGATTCTACTTGCAATTCTTGCCATCCTGGTAATTCTTGCCATTGCTAAAGACATATAAACCAAGGACAAAAGTATCCACTTTAATGTCACTCCAAGAATCATCTAACAAACCAGGAACTAAAGAGCAGCTTTTGCTTCTATACTCTTGAGCCCAGTTACCTTCTACTGCCTCAGCCCTTGGTGATTTTAATTCTTCTCCATTTTCCAAACCAACATCTGATGATTCGACTCTGACTTCGAAAGCTTTCTTATTTGAATTAAGTTGGCTCTTTTCTCTGTTTTTTGATCCCAGCAACCCATTTGGATTAACTGAACAATCCGGATTATTCTTAAATCCCTCTCCATTTTTGTGGTTATTTACATTATCATCAATCCACATGACTGGAATGGGTAATAGAAGTGGGCTTTTTACAAGATGAAGACACTCATATTCCATTATCATGGGCGGAATTTGCACCTGATACTCATTGCCAACTCGAGGGAGCATCTTTGGGTCTCCAAATATATCACTTCTATTAGGAGAATCAGGAGAAAACATTCCTTCAATGCACATGCTTTTGTGATCCATCTGCCAAATGGTATAGACTAAGATCCTTGGAGCATTTAACTCAAATCGGATCATCATGGAATACAACCATAAGAAATTCCACCTGAATCGTGTCCTCTCAATCTCATATAAACCAATGTATACACTCTTTTGTATACATTGTAGCTTAGATGTGAAAGAGAAAGCACAAATACTCGTTCAATTCAAACATTTGTCCATCTGATGCATATATATGTGGCAACCTAAGTAATCTAGTGTGGCTTATTAATCTTACTACATTTATTTGAGGTAGATATTCTCAGAACCAATCAAGGACACATGTTCAACTTGTATGAGTATTTTTGCTTTCTCTCACATCTAAACTACTACACTAATTTGAGGCATAAATATCAACGAGTTGTTTGACATACTACACAAATTTCACTTCATTTTGACCTATTACAGGAATTTTGACATTTGCAAATTCTTGCCAATTTCTCTCTTTTTTTTACAAATTTTCTTTCTTCTATGAAAATTAAAAGACTTGCTTAAATTTTCCTACACTGGTTGAATTTCATCACAAATGAAATCAATCTGGAAGCAGATCCATCAATGTTCTGTAGAGTGGTTTAGTAATTTAATAACAACATTTATTCGAGGCAGATATTCTGAGAACTAATCAAGGGGACACGTTTGAATTGTACGAATATTTGTGCTTAATCTTCACATCTAAACTACTACATTAATTTAACTATTACATTTATGTGGATCTTTCCCACAATAATTATTGCCCCAAAAATTAATATCCTATAACAACGGGACAATTGCTTATGTTTATGATGCATCCACAATGGCAATCTAATTGCAAATTAAACTAGGAGTCCTGCTATTCTAGCCCAAGACTCTAAACTATTCATTGAGCCGAAGCCGTCAAGGCATCCGTTAAGTGAATAAGCCTGAGTCTTTGGCCTTAAAATCATTTCCCTTAAACTAATTAAGGAAAACCCTCAACAAAACTAGAAATCGTAAATGAATTCCTGAACAAAGTTAAATATGAACACTAATCTAGAATGAGAAACCCAATCTCTCCCCGTGTGTGTGTGTTTGTGTGAATCAAGGAAACTCTCATTTATAATCACAGACACAGAATAGTGAAGTCCATTGCCTGATTACCCAACAAAATTTGTACACATAAGCACATCCAGGCAGAGTTGTTTCAAGATCGCCAACCAAGAACAAGAATAACCATACCCTAAATCCACAATCACACAGGACTGTCACATCTGAAGCAACCAATTGACGTTTTCACTAGCAAAACTCCATCAAGAAACAACAACGACAACAACAAATACAAAATCAATATATACAGTTCAAAACAAGAACATCAAGAATCCAGTATAGCATTGATAATTTCAGTGTGATCCCACAGAATTTCCACTCATTCATACAATTCAAAACAAGAACCCGGTGAATGTAATGAGAATGTGAGTCACTAACCTCCATGGAAGAGCTTCAAAGATTCAAATCCATGTGAGAGCCAACACATGGACGAACGGGTGATCACGGTTGTGTGTTTTTGAATCACCTAGAATCCTTGATTGTCCATCTTTTGTATGATACACGTCGAAACAACAATAAGAACAGAGCAATTTACCCCCAAAAAGAAAAAAGAGGAAGAACAGAGCACCCAACACACACTGTATATATACACACACACATGAAACCATATGTATATAAATGTGTATTATATATAGAGAGAGAAACGGAGGTGACAGAGAATGGTTACCTGGTTTAAAGGAGCTCAACTTCCATTGTTTGCTTAAGAGAGTGGGACCATGTAAACTTGGAAAACCATCTGCCCTTTCGTAGTTTTGTGCGTGTAGAGAGAGAGAAAGGGGTTTAGAAAGAGAACGATTTCTTTTGTCTACGAGTTTTCAGTGAGAGAAAATAGAAATGTATATATCAGTGTGTGTATATCAGTGTGTGTGAGTGAGAGAAAGGGTGTTCTTAAGAAGAGAGAGAAACTGAAAAAATGGTTTGCCAAACAAGTAAAACGACGTTTTAGTCCATTCGGTAAATATTAAAGGGTATTTTCGTACAAAAAGAAATAAGATTGATGACGTGGTTCTATATAATTGGTATGATAGTTGTTGTAGGAAAAGAGTTTGTAGGAACTATTTCATACGATACTTGCTCGGATTTCAGATCTTCATGAATCATGATGATTACATTGGGATGGTGGTTGGTACCATAGGATGGGTTATGCGGATTCCCCATTTTAATTGTGTTTATTGTGACAAAATTATCCTTCGAAATTAAATTAATTTATCCTTCGAAATTAAGTTGAACTAACTTATTATTTGACATTAATTATATCAACATCAAATTTAAAATTTGAACTAACTTATTTCTCCCTATTTGACAATTGACATTAATTACATCAACAACAATTAATTTTACTTTGTAATTACGATATATTGACACGAATAAAATTAAGTTTTCAGGTTTATTTTTTAATTGGTAGGTGAAATTCATAATTATTAATGGTGGATTTCGTTATTTATTTCAAGTTTATTCATCATTGATTGTTTTAGAAATCAAAAAAAAAAAACATGATTGGATAGAATTTTGATCCAAAAAATATGATTGGATAAACTTTTGATCCATCTCTATTTGGTCTTAAAATTTTACCACACAACCTCGTAAGTTTAATCATTGGAAATTTATAGTTTGTAAAGGACAATAATGAGAAGCAACTAAACAAGTAAAGTTCACCGGTAGGACTCAGAGATTTGAGAAGACCTAATTTTGTTCCTCTCAATATTATTAAGATATTACTTGCCTCCAGACTTGTGCCATGTTGGAGTCCCCCTTCTCTTAATTTTGCAAAGAAAAAATATATTTACATATATTATCTAGAGACTAGAGAAACATTCCCTTTTTAACCCTAATGTTGCTTTTGGAAATACAGAATCAACACTTTGATTTGAATTTGAAACAAATTTAGTTTAAATTTTAACTAATTTTTTTTTTCAATTTTAAATCCAAACCACACTAATAAATCTATGCTCCCAAGCATTACATGATAACAATACTCGTCTATCAGTCTATGCATCAAATCTGTGAATTCCGCGTAAGTGCTTCCATTTCATAATGATCTGGAAAATAACATGGATGGAAGTAACTTTGATTGTTCCCATTGTGATTCCAAGCATGAACTTGAACATAACTCTGTTTCCAAGCATTTCTGTCATCTTCAGAAACAAAATTTCCTTTTGCTCCAACTCTGTTTCCAAGTCAACCAAGATTGGCAGTCCAAAAGGTAATTTTGATTCTTGCCAGAGACCCATCTACTAAAGGAGGAAAAAGAATAAGTGGCATAACAGTATCAGCCTCTTATTTTCAAAGAGAGGTTAGAAGTTCAAGTCTCAGAGGAGACAAGTATGTGTGAGTACCAACTAGAGAAAAAAAAAAAAAAACCAAGAATCAAGATATCCAATTTACAAAAGCCTCTACAAATCCCCAGCCATCTTCGGGATCTGGTCCCACCCAAAAACCCGATATCACCGTATGAATACAAGAACTTGCACCAAAATGACAAGATATAGGTTCATAGAAACATCTTGAGGGTGTCGCTATATGGTGATGACAGCTTCTATCGACAGAAAATTGACCTCTACCAGAGGAGTTGGGAGCATGGAGCTTCTTTGCTGCAAATATAAATGAAATTGTCAGCTTGGCGAAGGCAGGCATAGACTAAGGACCGTTATCGGCAAATGTATTCTAGCAAGTCCACTTCCATTTTTCACAGCATCTAAAATAAATCAATTTCTTGAGTGCAATAATATCATTTGTTTGTACTTCCAGTATCTCCATTTATACATTCAACCTCTTCACTCCAATGGTAAGTTACTGATCTGCTTCCTAGTATTTCCATTTATATATATAGCTATCTTAAAATGAGCAAATATTCAAAACTAATTAAAAAAAAAACTTAATTCTTTAATCTGCTTTGAAAAAACTACCAAGTCAAAGGATTAGAAAAGAACAACTTGATCTTATATAGTGGCAAAATCTCAGTCTTTCTCATCGGGTAAATTCAGAAAACCAAAGGAAATTTTGATCATATTAGACATTATTTGGGACTTTTGGCAGCCTTTTAACCAAGAATATGAACAAAATTGGCAAACAAAGAGAACAGTAATTTAACATTGAAGGAAAGCCTTTTTTTCGTTTCCCTCTTTTTCCATTTAAGAGTATATAAGTCGAACTTTCCAAAATTTATTGAACTTGTGGTGGTACAGAAATCTATCGGAACGTGAAAGTTCAAACCCTTTTCAGTTAATCCAAAGTTTTGGTTTTAAAGTTTCAACTTGTCTTCTCAACTGAGTGAACTTCAGCCAAAAATTACAATCTTTTTGGCACTTGCTTTCGCAGATGTCTCAAAAAACAACATATGAGTGGTTAAGTTTAGTTCCTAATGTAAAAGCGGCGCCAAAATTAGTATGAAAAGAATTAAGAAAGCACCTGCTCCTCTGGTTACTTGGCTTAAAGAACACCAGAGAGCTTGTCTCCTTGAACGTATTTCCTGAAATCACATCCATCAAACATTAGGCATGAAAACTCACAATTACACAATCCATTTCTCTTTCTTAGGCAATGGTTTAGTTATTAGTAAGTAAAGGCAATGCTTGTCCATATAATTAGAATAAGAAAATTTATATAGTCATCCAAGCAAGGCTTCATATACAGTTTCTACAAGTTACAGGAGCTTTAAGGATATAAATTTGTGTATTTATAAGATAAATTAAAGTAAACATTAGCAGATTTAGTCAACCATTATGCTAGTCATTAAGCCACAGTCTGTCAGATACCTAGCAGCAGTTAATCACAGAGAAATAATTTACACTAGGTTGACCAGACAAAACCATGTTAAACGGAATCTGTGTGTGGACAAGGATTCAGATATGAACACACAACCAACATCCAAAAATCAATTGCTTTCGTCACCAAAAATTACCTTTCATAATGAATATTAAAGAAATGTAGTGAAAATAATACAAATAACAATTACATATGCCAATATGCATTTAACTAAATTCACCTTTAGCTATCTGTGATAAAAAATAATAATAATAAAAAATGTATTGTTATTTTTTTATAAGTAGATAGATATAATCATACAAAATATATAAATTACTGAAAAATGAAATCATTCAATTAATAACTTCTCTGCAACACCTAAGAACAGTTAAACAATCTGGCCACAAGTTAATGAACAAAGGCTAGTAATAAAGTAAAATCTACTCAATCCTAGCAAATGTTAAGTCGACTAGAGACTTTTCCTAATCATCCTACATTTTGTAGAATATCTAGAAAAGTTCGGAATTTGATGCAATGCGGTACAATTGTGTTACTCAACCCCGAATATGTGATTCAGTTGAGCACAGCAGCAGCCAAACCAAGTTTTGCTTGTGTATGACTGTTTTATGACACTATGATCCAAAGGCAACCTGAACCAAGGTTATCGTTTGTTGATTCACAAGTTAACCAAAGAATTATATCCCAAGACCAAAGAATTCTATCCCAATTCCAAAAAAATTCAAATTTTCCAAAAGTATGGACAGTTAGACAGCTTTTAAACTTCGGAAACTTTTAAAAGTTACTTTTCAAAATTATAGACTCTCACTAGACAACTCAACAAAACCTTTTCCAACCATTTGGTATCAGCTATATGAATCTTTATTTCGCTCTATTTTAGACCATAATTTAAGATAAACAGCATTTTATAACATCTTTCTTTACTATTTGATATTTCAACGGTACTAATTTTTGGACTTCCCTTTCCCCGAGGACCAACACAATGCAGAACACATCACTCTTCCTCACTTGTGCAATTATTAACATTTGCTGTACAGGAAGACCAAATCATAATCGATTATCTTCTTCGTTTTCCGATAAAAAATATTTGGAGACCACATTATCAAGAATTATGAATATTCCAGGATATCAGGACGAGTCATCCCACTCAAGCTTTGCCCCACTTAATTACAAAACCTTGCAATTTTGAATTAGTGACCAAATTATCTACAGAGCCGAAAACTAATGCCATTAACATCAGAAAAGAAAAACAAAGAACACTAACAACAATAATAATAAACACCATCCTAGCTGAACTAAGCCAATTGAAATTATACAACAGACTAATGTCATTGATCCCCTCCATGTCTCTGTAGGTATGTTTGGTTGGAGAAGATACATAGGAATAGATTATCAAATATTGAATATTAGATTTTTCAAAAATTGAAGAACAACAATACCACTATCACTATGCAGCTGAAGCCTAATGCATCTATTTATCCCTCACTTAGTTGGGAAAAATCAAAGCTAAAATTCACACTTTCTTTTCGTTTTTCCTATGCTTTCCAGGTAACCAAACATATACTCAATAAAGCAAATTTTCTTCACCCGGAGCCATAAATAAACAAATTATAATAATCAACAAAAAAGATAGAAAAAAAAGAAAATTTATTTTCTTTCATTTTCTCAGGAACCAAACAGAGCTGCTACAGTTTCAAGTAAAACAGAGTTAGGGTTTTGTGAAGAACATTTTTGCTCCAACTAATTTTACCTGGATTGGGGTTTTGGAAGAAGAGAGAGAGATGGAGAGGCTGATGGAGACTAAGCACGCCATGAACTTGTTGCTCGCTGGATTGGTGGTTTTGGATTTGGGTTTTGTTTTTGAGAGCAAGACAAAGTGAGGTTGCCAAGGCAAAAATTATGCGGTACAAGGCAACGACCCTATGCAGTACAAGGCAGCGACCCGCCCAACAAAGTGATAATTGCACGGTTACGACCTAGGACTGTATTTACTAGTGAAATGTCTAAAATACCCTTAGATGTTTTTTGAAAATTTGTGGATTCCCTCCAAGAGAGCAATGGCCTACTTTTCATAATTAAATAGAATTTTTTTTTTCTTTATGCAATTTCAAATGTCATAAATAGACCAAATTTTTGGAGAAAAAAATTATTTTTTAATAACATCTTGACCCCTCTTCTCAAATTTATCATTATTTGATTTTTTGACTTGCTGTGATATAGAGAGATAAACATATGTCATTTTAACAATTACTAATGACTAAACTGAAAGTAAAAAAAATGAAACTTAACCTTTTTTTTTTTATGAGAACAAATCACTTCCTGAACAAAACAAATCACTTCCTGAACAAATTCTACTTCTTTCTAGATAAGTCAGGATCATTTCACGAGTAAACAATATATTCTTTTAATTTACTGTGGTTAATTATTTTTGGTCCATGCCTGTTGAGACTTGAGATTGGATGTTTATTAATAGATTTTAAACACGAAATATGTATCTAGACCTTTTTGTGCTATTTATCATTTTTCTTAGTAGAATCATATAATGCAACTTTGACAAATGGTTATATATGTAAATTTACTATTTATTTCCATTTCCAAAACTAGTTTGAGATGTGATCAATCAACAACTAGGAGGCACTCTCATTGTAAGAACGCCCTCACGATAGCTCTCTGGCATAGAAAGGGTGGCCGTGGCTCTTCAATCTTCATAAGTACCAAAAAAATAATAATAATAATCAAATCGATTAACCCTAACTAATAAAAAGGGCATATGTCAGAATAATGTTACAACAAGCTAGTAAAAAAACACAAAAAAGGAAGATTGTGCCTAACAAAAAGACCACTACTATGGCCAATATTGTTAGACAGTTCCAACCAGCAAGCATGAGATTGTGCAAAGTGTGTCATTGACATCTAGCCGTGATAACATTATTTGTACTACTAATTCACCCGAGAGAAGATAAATTAATGGAAAAATCACCCCCAGCATCCTAACCAAATTTTGTTACATTACAATTTTCTGGCAAATGGGCGGGTTGGGCTGGGTTGAAAATGGGCGGGTTAAACATGAGTCAAGACTTATATTTAACTCGTTCAGAGCGGGTTGAAAATGGACCGGTAGAAAATGTATAGGGTCAACCCGTTATGAACTGTGGACCCATTAATTATTATTTTTTTATTTTTTATTTTTTAAAAAAATTATATTTAAATAATGTATAGGGTTAACCCGTTAAGACCCATATTGATGTTAAAAAAAAAAATTTGACTCGTGAAACATGACTGACCCATCCAAAATATTGATGTTTAATTTTTTTAAAAATTTTGATGTTTACAAACATGAAAAAAGAAAATGTAATTTGTAAAAAAAATAATAAAATAAAAAATGACCCGTGAAACCCGACCGACCCACCCAAAATTTTGATGTTTAAAAAATAAAATTCTCTTAAAAATTTTGATGTTTACAAATATGGAAAAAGAAAATATAATTTGCATATTTGAAAAAAAAAATAATAATAAAAATGACCCGTGAAACCCGATCGATCCGGCCAAAATATTGAAGCTTAAAAAATAATTTTTTCTTAAAATTTTTGATGTTTACAAACATGGAAAAGGAAAATGTAATGTGTATAAAAAAAAAATAATAATAAAAAAAACAACCCGTGAAAACCGCACAACCCGCCCAAAATATTGATGTTTTAAAAATAAATTTTTTTTTAAAAATTTTGATGTTTACAAACATGAAAAGGAAAATATAATTTGCAAATTTGAAAAAAATAAAATAAATTAAATTCGAGCTGTGAAACTTGATTGACCCACCCAAAATATTGAAGTTCAAAAAATAAAAATTTCTTAAAATTTTTGATGTTTACTGAGTATACCAAAGGCGATATGGGTCGGATACGATCCAGATATGACCCGCAAAAGGACCATCGGATCAAGCAATTGGTTTCAGCCCACATAGAGGCACTGTAGAATGGGCCAAACCTCTGAGATCTACCCAGCAAAGTCAGGCCCATTAGGAAGGAAGCCCGAAGCTGGGAGCCCAGCATAAGAAATCAGTTATGACATCCCAATAATGCAGGTAATTGCCTATAAATAGACAAGAGTGGTAAAGAAAAGGGAAAAAGAATGGTGAGAATGTAATGAAACTCTGAAGAAATTTGGAGAGATATTTTCTTGCATTTACAATTGGCACCGTCTGTGGGAAACGTTGAAGATTGATTCATGTTTGATCAACATCATGTTGATTCAGACTGATTCGTAAAGACGAAGCTCGATTTCTGGAAATTGAATCCAGATCTGAGAGATTGCGGTTTGCTCTTGAGAAGTTCTTGATTCCTGATTGATTTTGAGAAATTGGCGTCAGATTTACGCAGTGGTGATTCATTCTGTTGTGGCTCGATCTGACAAGTTCAAAGCCAGGAAAGCTCAGATCTAGCAAATGGTGAACGTAATTCATAAAATTTGAGTCCAGATCTGACGTGATTCGCATTAGTGAAACTCAGATCTGATTTAGAATTTGCAATTCATGCCTTTGCTCCGTTCCGGAATGATGACTAGGGTGAGAACTCCAATCCGGTAGAGAATGTCCAGCAGATGAAACTTGATGAGTTGATGAACATGATCGAAGCTCTCAGGAGAGAGAATGCAGAGCTAAGGACTGAAATGCAACGTCAAGAAGCTCCGGTGATTCCACGATCGCTCCCGGCAGGAGAAGAAGTTCTACGTCCCGGTGCTGCACATCACGGTGAGGAGGTAGGGAACAACCAGACAGATCTTCACCACGAGGAGGTCCGGCCAAATGATTTACAGCCAAATCCTCATCGTGTTGATGATCGTGAAGGATCAACTCACGTGGATCCACGGCGTGAACAGATCAGGCGAAACGAAGCCATGACTTTCGATCCATATCAAGAAATGCTCAGCCGAGAAGAAGCAATGGAGTTTGATTGCCATAAAGCTATACCGCCGTGGCACAAGGAGTTTATGGAGGAAAGATCATTCGATCCGTCTTATCGGCCTTCCATGGTAACGTTTGGTTATCAAAGCTCAGAAAGGAGATCTATAGATCAGAGAGTTACCGCAGGGTTCCAGAGGGAGAATGACGCCCTCCGTTCAGTGGCTCGAATGGTTGACTTGCCATTTACCGATGAAATTCTGAATGCTCCGAGTCCGAGGAAATTCTCCATGCCCGTTTTCATTCTATTTGACGAGACGACCGAAACGATTGATCATGTATATCACATCCAGTTGAAAATGGCCTTGAACACTGAGAACAATTCCTTGATGTGCAAATGCCGAGGGGCTCAGTGGATAGTTTCCGAAACTTATGCGATCGGTTCATAAGCCAGTACTATGGGAATAAACGTCCAGCAAAGGACATTTCAAGCCTATTCACAATGAAACAGCATGAGGACGAGCGTCTCCAAGCTTTTCTTACCAGGTTTAACCTTACAAAGAGCATGGTGATTGAATGTCATCCTTCTACGGCGATTCAAGCATTTAAATTGGCCATGACTCGTGGCACTCCATTCCATACAAGCTTGGTAGTGAATACGTCGAAGACTATGGATGAACTCAATGAAAGAGCTGATGGTTTTGTGCGCTTAGAAGAAGAAGAGGCAGCTAACGCTCAGAAGACATCCATCATATCAACAGAAGAGAAAACCAAAGCCAAGATCAAGCAAAAGCAGGTTCAGCCATATCGTCAGACCTCCTGGAAATCTGAGAAGAGGCCCAGAGAGGAAGAGCTGGTTACTCCACTGAAAGTCACTTTAGCAAGGCTATACAAAGAAAATAACGATAAATTCCGATCTCCTTTACCAATCAGACAGCCCCTCGAATAGAGGGACCAGTCTAAGCATTGTGCATTCCATTCTGACTTTGGCCATCAGACTAATGAATGCAGGAACTTAAGGAGACAGGTAGAGATATTGATAGCCAGAGGGGAGTTCGCAAGTTATGTTCAAGGCCCCGCGGTAGAACAGAACCGACCGATGGAGCAAGTGAAGAGGAATCAGAAGCTGAGCTCCCATAACTCACAGCCAGTTCGTATAATCAATGTAATTCATGGTCGGCCCGAGCCTAGCGAGGAGTCAGATGAGCTACTTCGAATGCGCCTTTGTCAAGCACAAATAAAGAAGAGGATTGGCAGTGTGAATGCCCTGCACTAGTAGAGCGTATCAACACAGATAAAGTTCGACAGGACGGATCTGCTGCGTGTTCAAATTCCTCATGAAGATCCGTTGGTTGTCAATTTGACAGTGGCAGAGTGCCTGGTGCGAAGAGTTCTGATCGATCCCGGAAGCAGTGCGAATGTCATGCCAAGAGACATATTTGATCGGCTCGAGATCAAGCCGGAAAAGCTCAAGCCCACTGTAAACCCCTTGTTAGGATGGAACCCATCGGTATGGTGGAAGTGGAAGTACAAGCTGCGGAAAGAATTCTGACGGAAAAGTTTGTTGTTGTTGAGATCCACCCCTCTTACAACCTCCTGATGGGAAGAGGGTGGATTCACAGAGTACAAGGTGTTCCCTCCACTCTGCATCAGGTCATGCGATGTCTGGGGCCAGATGGAACTAAAGTGATTGATATTCATGGCGATCAAGTGGCAACAAAAGAATGCTATTCCGTAACATTAAAATCTGCGGCAAAGGGAAAAGCTCCCTTCCGTTTTGCAAGCCCCAGATAGCAATTACAGGAGCCTCCACCTAGCCAAAGTATGGAGGAATTATTAAACTTGACCAAAGAACCCCTTGTTGATGTGCAGATCGATCATAACAAATCGGAACGAACGACCAGAGCGGGAATAAGACTCGACGAAGGAGAGAAGCATGAGTTAATTGATTTCTTGTCTCGAAATGCTGATGTGTTCACTTGGAGCCACTCGGACATGCCCGAAATAAGCCCTTTGGCATCCTG